GAGAGAGAGGGAGACACAGAATCGGAAACAGGCTCCAGGCTCCGAGCCATCAGCCCAGAGCCCGACGCGGGGCTCGAACTCACGGACCGCGAGATCGTGACCTGGCTGAAGTCGGACGCTCAACCGACTGCGCCACCCAGGCGCCCCTGATCAGGGTTAATTTGATGGAGGAACAGAAATGTCTGTTCCCCCTTCTCTCCCCACTTTTGTATGAGCCACTAGAAAGAATTCACTCTTTTCTGCTCCGTGTAATAGGGGCACTAGGCAGTGAACAAACTAGCAAATCTGTATCCCTATGGAACGTACATTTCAGTAGGAGAAAGTGGGCAGTATAGAAGATCCATTAATTAGATGGTGTTCAGAAGCATGGAGACAATTTTAAAAGATAAGGGAAAGGAATAAGAGAGGTGACAGGAGGCAATATCTGCATAGCGCTTTGCAGACCGAGATGGAGACTTTCGCTTTTACTCTGAGTGAGACGGGAAGCCACTGGGAACTTTAAGCAGAGGAGTGACGAGGTATGATTTAACTAAAATAGGATGTTCTGGCTGCTGTTCTGCACAGGGAAAAGAGTAGAAGCAGGAAGACTAGTTGTGACAGTTATAAGGCTTTAGTAGATTGCAATATTTCACTTTTTAATATAATAAATCTAGAGAGAGGGGGGAGGCATATCTTGAAAGAAACTGTGGATGCAGCTTTTGGCTCATGGAGTTGACTGGAGTCAAACACAGAAAACTCACAAAGCTTTTAAGAAAAGCATATTGGCAAAACAACTAAACGAGACTAAGGGTGTGTGCAAGAAGAACAGAAATTTGGTCTCTCAATTGTCTATAGGCAGGAATCAGTTTGAGAATTCCACGTATCCACCAAGAAAGATATATTTTCCAGTGCCCTTTCCAGGTGACTAAGATAGATGATGGAAAAAGAATTATTTTCTAGACTGAAGAACCAAGAATTATGGAGAATAGACTGGAAAGTCATTCTGAGAGAGCAGAACCTATGCCTGATCATGGTACATTATTCCCTTTTCCAAATAGAGGAAACTGACAAGCTTCACTCAGTGGAATTTCATGTGTCATGGCCCAGTGACTGCCCTTTGCTTTCATTATTTTCTTTTTTTAATGACAGTATTTTTGTTTGTTGTGGTTACATTGTCCTGTACATCATTTGTTGTATGTTGGATGTATGAGAAGATACCTGCTCTTTTAATTCATATGGCTCAAGAACAGCCATATTTGGACCTGATGTAGATCCTGTGTTTCAAAGACTTGATGGACCTTTTAGAGGTCTTGGGACAGGAAAGAATTATTTTGTATGTGAAAAGGATATGAATAATTATAACCAAGAGAGTACACTGTGGTAGACTGAATTACTGGTTCTTCACAATTCTTCACTACCCTGTAGTATTATTATGTATACATGAGGCCTTTGCTACGGTTGCATGGTGAGCAGTGTATTTTCTCACCTCTTGGCTTTGGGTTTGTGCAAGTGATTTTCTTTGGTCAATGGGATGTCAGGGGAAGTGATATGGGAAAAACCTTGAAATATTCTTCTATGTTGGCTTTTTTCTTCTTGTGCTTCTGTGACTCCCATGAGAAGAGCATGTCTTGGGTAGCATTTTCAGCATGGGCTCTGAATAGGACACATGAAGCAGAGACACATAGTAGACCCTTGGGCTCACAGCCTGAGGCAAACATTCCTCAGTCAACCCACAAACCTTCAGCTTAAAGTGGATCTGAACCTAATCTCAAGCCTGGAATCTGGCCTGCCTCAATTAAAGTGCTACTGATCCACAGACTCATGAGAAAAAGTAATTGTCTTAAATCTCTTTGGGATGGGTTATACAGCATTAGTGTGGTAATGACTGAGCAATAGAGAGTTAATTGCAATAATTCACAAGAGAGAGGATGGGAATCAGGGCCGGGGTGGTCACAGTAGAAGTGGTCAGATTTTCGGTATATTTTATAGATTAGAACCCACAGGTTTAGCCAATGGATTATAAATGAAGTGTGAAAGAACGAGAGGAGTTGAGGATGAATTTTAGGCTTTTGGCTTGAGCAAACAGGAGAATGGAGTGGTCATTTTCTGAGACGGAAAAAACTGAGACAACTCAAGGCTTGAAGTAACATCATGAGCTGTTACTAGGAACAATGACATGGTATTGCATGTGTTTGAGTTGGCTTGAGTTGGCAAATAGGGATGTTAGGTTGGTCATCGAATATACAGGTTTGGAGTTGAAGGAAGGCCCAATGTATACAGGTGGACAGCTGAGAATAGTCAGCTCTTAATTTTTTTTTAAATATTTACTTATCTTGGGGAAACAGAGACAGAGTGCAAGCAGGGGAGGGGCAGAGAGAGAGGGAGACACAGAATCTGAAGCGGGCTCCAGGCTCCCAGCTGTCAGCACAGAGCCTGATGCTGGGCTTGAACCCACAAAGTGAGGGACCATGACCTGGCCTGAAGTCGGACACTCAGCCGGCTGAGCCACCCAGGTGCCCCGAGATTAGTCAGATTTTAAAGCCATGACACTGAATAAGATCAACAAAAAAATGTGATCACTTGAAAAGGGGTCCAGCGACTGAGCCTGGTGGGCAGTTTCAAGTTTCACGGTTGGGGAGTTGAAGTTACCAGCAAAGGAGATTGAGAAGGAGCAGGCAGGAGAGAGAAGAGGAAAATGAGTTAAATGACAGTAAAGTGTTACTCATATGCATTGTTATAATACGGCATCCATTCCTTCCTACTTTCTTCTCTTCCTTTTCCTCCTTCATCAAAAATGTCACCACCACTAGATTTGTGTGTGTATGTTTGTGTACGATATGGAAAGCACAGTGTTAATCACTTTATACAGAAATAAATATAACAGAATTATGAAGAAGGTAACAGGTATCTTATTTTTTTCTCGGTATATACTCACTAGGAGGAAAATTCCTTTTTTCTCTTCTGGTCTTCTCTCTAGGACAGAGAAGCTAAGTGTTTGTATTAATTCTGGGTCCCCTTCATAATCCCTCAAGCAGGATGGCTTTGTTTGAAGAGCAAAAGGATTGGAGGCTGGTGCTTTGAATGGAATAGAATGAGTAGCTGGAATGCTGGAGTAGAGTTGATTATTATTTTTTTCTCCCTAAGCCTGGGAGGGGGGTTAAGGATGGGAGGAAGAGGTCCAGTGCATATTAGAGACTTGTGTTTAGCTAGCCTGCAGCTCCCTAGTGACAGTAAGACCTTGGAAGGGGGGATGGCTGTCCGGAGGTGAGTGGAGATTGGAGAATGGATGCCATAACCTTGAAATCGTTGGCCTAAGTCATCTGATCTGAGTGGAGAACTTCTGTTCTTGGGTGAACTTCTGTTGTAGAGCCTGATAAAGTCTCAGAGACAGGGGTAGGTGTGGTGCAACAGGGCACCTGAAATAAAACTGCTTTGCAGAAAGAGAATGTCTGAGCTTAAGAAAAAGATCTAAGTGTTTGCAGGAGCACACTTGTTATGCACTACATGTGGCTGGCTTTAGAAGCTCCTTGAGATAGAGCCAGTCATGTTTTTGAGCTTTGGGGAACAATGGTTGTGTGACTATGAACTGAGAGAGGTGTAATCCTAGAACCAAAGTTTGGGACATCCAATGTGTGCAGACTGGAATCTGAACCAGCCAGGACATTACCACAATGCTATATTATTGTGGTAGAAGGTAACAGCATTAGTTAAACAAGACTCCATTTTTTTCCTCTTATTTTGTTTTGAGAAGAGTACTGCATCTTTTGGTCTAAGACATGAACCCCACAGTTTCTTAGGTATTCAAAGGTGAGGAGGTCTCGAAAAGGAGAGACTGAACTTTCCAAAAATAAGGTACTGGGTGGGGGGGCTTGAATGATTCGCTGGGGGAAAAAAAGGCATAAAGCCTCTAAGTTTATGATACACGTATTACTATTTGTGCTTTGGGGAAAACTTGGGAAGTTTTAGTTGAGGAAGGGTATTTAAGATGTTATGATGACTTTTGTTTTTCTTAAATATGTATTAGCCTTATTTTGTGTGGTTCTGGAGAGCAAAAAAATAAAAAACTGTCAGCTGCATGGGTGGAGGGACAGATAGTCACTACTAAATCATAGCACGTGTATTGGGCTCAATACATTTTTCACTAAATGACTGCATGCATGCGTGACAAATGAAAACATATGGGTGAAACTTACAGGGAGGCAGATTTTTGACTCAGCTTATCTTTTTCATAATCTGAGTTATTAAAAAAAACTAAATGGACTATTCTCGAAAGGCAGTGAAATTCTCTATCACCAGGAGTGAAGCAGGAGCCAAAGGACTGTTTTGCAGCGATGTGATACAGGATTTCTTCATTAGATGATGGTGAGACCACGTAACCTCTGAGTCTCTGAAAACTCAGATACACCAGTTCTGTAACTTTAAATCCAAGGCTCTTCATCTTTACACATAGACTTGGGAGAAGTATAAATAAGACTCATGATCTCAGGGAAATCTTGAAGAGGCATGTGTTCAATGGCATGTTTATTAAACAAATGCTCATGACAGATTTTCACAACAGCAACAAATGTTATTTCACTACATCACATCTCCCTTGCTAAGAAAAAAAAAACAATCATAGCAAGGTTGATGGATTTGGATTATTTGTTCACATTTTTCTGGGGAGCGGGGGAGTAAAACCAACCAGTCTCCTCACTCCTTTTCCTCTGTTTCCTTTTCTTGAGCATTACCTGGTTTCATTTTCTTCACCTCCTCTCTGACTAAATGTCCCCGGAAGGCTGCTTGGATTTTGACAGCAGCATTCTCCTGTTTTTCTTTTTCTTCTTCAGAAGATTCCTTCATGGAATGGATAAAAAGTAAGAGACTTCTTAAATATCCAATATTTTGATGCCATAAAAATAGTGCATACATTGAATCCATTGACGGTCGTAACAACTGAGATCTGTTGCTTCCTAACAGAATTTTACATACTTGTCACATCGTATATGTACCAAATGGTGAGTGCCAAAATGGCAGACATTTTGTTTTGTCATTCTTTAATATGTCTCTGCAGTAAATGATCATTGCCAACTCCCCCAGGCCCCACCAAATAGTTCCTATTTAACAGTTCCCAATAACATTTTTTTAAAATAAGTAAGAATCCTTAAAGCTTGGTAAAAATGTCAAGAAGAATAGTAAGTGTCCTGTTTCTAAATAATCATGATTACATAAAATTAATTTCTTAATTTCTCAATGATTAGCTAATCAAAATCATACATTTAAAGCAATAATGTCAGTTTTAAGGTGGTGGGCTGAACTTCTGTATATAGCTCCTTTTTTTTAAATTGAGGTATAATTTACCTAAATTGTCGACAGTGGAACACAGAGATCTTAAGGGTCTAGTTCAATAGCTACATAGTTTTTAATATATAATTTTAAATTATAACAGTGATACATATACATTTAAAAACTTAAATGTCACTGGTAGTGAAAGATTTCTCCCCCTTTCCAAATCATACTCCTAAGATGTATCCATTATTATGGGTTGAGTATATATATATCCCTCAAAACGCTTTCTGTATACAAAGTATTCATATGGGTATATACATGCCTTTTTATTTAAAAAATGAGATCATGCTAATTACAATGTTCACAACTACTTTTTTGTAACTATCTATCTTGGTTCTCTTTTCAATGTATATAACTCTGCCCATTCTTTTTTTTTTTTTTTAATAACACCATTGTATTACATTGTACGAATGGAACTTGATTTATTTACTCAGTCTCCTGTTGATGGACCCTTGGGGTGTTTATATCCCTCACTCCATTAAAAAAGCAATGAGGCACAGGGGCGCCAGGGTGGCTCAGTTGGTTAAGCATCTGACTCTGGATTTCTATGTGCTAACAGCACTGAGCCTGCTTGGGAATCTCTCTCTCTCTCTCTCTCTCTCTCTCTCTCTCTCTCTCCTCCTCTCACCCCCTCAAAATAAATAAATAAACATTATAAAAATACAATGAGGCAATTCTAGCTCTTAAACTTTTTTAAAAAAATTAAAAAATATTTTTTAAAGTTTTTTTTTTAAAGTTTATTTGAGACAGAGGGAGAGACAGAGTGCGAGTGAGGGAGGGGTAGAGAGACAGGGAGACACAGAATCAAAGCAGCTCCAGGCTCTGAGCTGTCAGCACAGAGCCCAATACGGGGCTCAAACCCATAAGCTGGGAGATCATGACCTGAGCTGAAGTTGGACGCTCAACTGACTGAGCCACCCATGCACCCCTAGCTCTTAAACTTTTAAATGCAAACAGAATGGTATTAAAACCTCTGAGATATACCCCAATATGGGCAAATAATTATAGCGAAGTTGGAAATCAATGAGATCTCAACTCAAACTTCTGAAATTCTGTGTAAGGGCAACTACTAAAGATGTAAGGAAATGAAACTCCCTTTCGTCTTCCCTCACTTCCCATTGCACCTTATGGCAATGTTAAGCTGATTGGGTTGTACTGATATAATTCTGGAATAATTTATAAAGGTTATGGGGAAAAGTTCTGCCCCCCACTGGGTAGGAGGTGAGGTTTTCCTTGAAGGGGAGGCCTACTTTGGGTGTCAATTACTGGGTGACTAACTGGGACATCAAGATATGAAAAGGAACTCGGAGGTTTGGTCTTCAATGCTGTAGAGAGTGAATTCTTTCTCACTAGGGTTGGTCCTCTTGAGTCTGGACTATGAAGAATATAGACAGTGATATGCTGGCAAATGTTTATATACGGACTCTCCAGAAAAAAAAAAAAAGGCTGATTTGCAGTATTGGCCACAATCTTAATACTCCTACTGTGGCTGATTTCAAGCTACTAAATAGACATTACTGAACATGGGTTTATACACATGTGCACAGTTGTCTCTTGAGAGCTGGCCCTAGCACACTAGTGAGAATAGGTATCTTTGAAGGTGGACCCTGCTCAGGTCTTTATTGCTTAGATGTGGGCTGTCAGGCAGGAAGCCATTTAGGCAGTAGTGCATGGAAGGTGAATAAGACACACTGTGTAAGGCCATTTTATTTGATGGCATGTAATTCTCTGTGAGTTTCCTTTTGTTATCTCTGAACCTTTGCCACTGTGTGGTAATGAGAGCATCAATTAGTGAAAGCCTCCCAAAGGGGAAAATGAATCTGAAGCATCAAGACTGGGGCAGTGAGTTCTGTCTGTTCTTCTTGGGGAGATTTCCCCACCTGATGACAATCATGGAAAATAAGGTTTTATTTTTAAAGGGAAGAATGAGTTTTCCTTTATAATAGGCACAGCTAAACATGATCCACTAGCTAGTTTATCACTGATGCTACTTATCTAGAAAGTAAAATCATTAATTTTAGCAATATGGATAACAGACTAGATTCATATTGGAAATACGATTTTAAAGTTTATTTATTTATTTTGAGAGAGAGAGAGAGAGAGCGAGCACACAAGCATGCAGGGGAAGGGCAGAAAGAGACAGAGATTGAGAATCTCAGCCACTCCCAGTGCCTCTGTGGGGCTCGAACTCTCAAACCAAACTAGACCATGAGAACATGACCTGAGCCAAAATCAAAAGTCAGATGCTCAACCGACTGAGCTACCCAGGCGCCCCTGGAGTATAATTTTAAGTTGAGTGATATCTTTCTTTGTAGGAATCTAATAGTGTACAGAAAACAACTTACTAAGGCTGTGACTGGTGTCTCATCTTCTTTCACAGATGTGTGAGACTTTTCTTTTTCCGACTCACAATTCTCAGTTGATTCGTGCTCCTGGAAGAGGGGTGAGAGGATCAGAGGCAATATTCTAAAACAGTAAAGTCTTGGGTCAAACTGCTTAAAGGTAATTAAATATTGCTTTATGTTATTGAGAAGAAGTGGGGATTAAATACATACTGTTTTTTTTTCAAGTAGGTTGGAAAAAAATAAATAAATGAAAACTCTCAAGGGAATATGTATAAACAAATATGACCAAGGAACTCATAGAAAATGTTTGATTTTTTGCTTTTGGAATGTAACATGGTTGGTTTTATATTAAAAACAAGCCATTGTCTTATACTAAAAGTTGATAATATGCTGTAATTAATCTTTTTTTTAATGTTTATTTTTGGGAGAGACAGAGAGAGAGAAAGGAGAAAGAGAGAGAGAGAGAGAGACTGAGGGAGGGGCAGAGAGAGAAAGAGAGAGAGAGAATCTCAAGCAGTTTCTGCACCATCAGAGCAGAGCTACACGAAGGGCTAGAACTCATGAACTATGGGATCATGACCTGAGCTGAAACCAAGAGTTGGATGCTTAACCCAAACTGAGCCACCCAGGAGCCCTCATGCTGTAATGATCTTGAACAAAATATAAAAAAGAAGTGCTGATAGTTTTTAAAATAAGAACAAAATATATGCCATTGTGTCTCATATGTGAAGTCAGGTTGACTTTTTTTTTTTTTAAACTTTATTTCTTTTTGAGAGAGAGACAGAGAGAGCGAGAGGGAGAGGGGAAGAGAGGAGAGAGAGGGAGAGAGAGAGAATCCTAAGCAGGCCCTGCACTGTCAGCACAGAGCCTGATGTGGGGCTCGAACTCACAGGCCGTGGGATCATAACCTGAGCCAAAATCAAGAGTCGGAAGCTTAACTGACTGAGCCACTCAGGCAGCCCTCAGGTTGACTTTTTAATGAAGTTTGTAGATTAAAAATGATGACAAATAATTAAGTTCTACTGTGGGGAACCATTTAAACAAAAAAGGGAAGGGGAGGGGAATCAGTTCTGCCTATTTTGACATGGTTATTGAAAATTTCCACCAAAATAGAGGCATTGCTAATTCACAACCTATGGGAAGAGTTTCTTTCATCTGTAAAACAGAATCTGAAGACATATAAGCTAATCAAGTAAAGTCTTCAGAATTCAAAAGATATGAAAAAAAAACACCCTGAAATTGCTATGTGACACAAAGATTTAAAACTTTTCGACATTATTCCTTTGATTGCAGTACAACATGAATACAGAGAATCTAGTTAAATGGAAACAAACTCAACACCCCCACACCTGGCAGGCACAAATGGATGGAACTTCACGTTTGAACTTATGGAATAAGTGACAGGTATTTCCCCAGGAAATTCCCCAAATCTATTGGGAACACCATCAAAACTTGAACTTGGCTAATTCCTTTTAATTCTTCTTTTTTAAGTTTATTTTGAGAGAGAGAAAGAGGGAGAGCATGCGTGTGTGTATGTGGGGGGGGTGCAGAGAGAGACAGAATGAGAGAGAGAGAGAGAGAGAGAGAGAGAGAGAGAGAGAGAAACAGAGAGAGAGAGAATTCCAAGCAGGCTCCCTGCTGTCAATGCAGAGCCTGATGTGGGGCTGGATCTCACAAACAGTGAGATTATGGCCTGACCTGAGCTGGAATCGAGTTGGACGCTTAACTGACTGAGCCACCTAGGGGCCCCATATTCTTCTTAATTCTAATATCTGATGGTGCTTTGTGGCTAATGTATTATCTCAGTTGTCTAGCAGAGTGCTTCTCAGACTTCAAGGTACCTACAAATCATTTTGGGAGCTTGTTAAAATTCAGCTTCTGATTTGTAGATCTGGAGTAGGGCCTGAAACAGAAGTTCCACAAAGTTCCCAGCTGATGCCAGTGATGTTGGATCACACACAGCCCTTCTCAACCAGTGCTCCTCTTCTGGACCACAGAACACAGTGTTTCTGTTCAACTATTCTCTCAATTCTCCCAAGGATAGTAGATAAGTAGAATCATTCTAGACACAAAGGAGAGAATGATTCCCTACATGCAATAAGTGCCTTTGGCTTAGGGCTTAATTATTTTGAGGAACCTTGGTTGAGAAAAGCTGGTTGTAGGAATGCTGCTAAAGAGAAGACAGGTTCAGTGTCTGAATAGATTAGCTTTATAGAAAAAACACCATTACAAACATTAATTCTAATCAGCAATTTGTAAGATGTCAATGATGATGAAACAACTGGATAAATGGTGCTTTATTTTATGAAATGTCATTCATTAATTCAACATATATTTACTGAGGATCTGCTATTGCTAAGCACTGTGATAGTCCATGAAATTTGAAGAATAAATGAGGGTAATCATTCTGTAACTTTCAATACATTCTTCCTCTTGATCGTCTTTCAATTTCAGCTAAGTATCCGACCACGATTTAGATACTTGGGAAAAAAATTTCTCCTCAGAAAGAACAACACACTTAAAAAGGTTTAGGCAGATATTTGTGATGCCTCTCAGGATGTTCATGATTCTGGGGAGATCCCGATGATCTCTGCTTTGGAGATAGGGAGAATAAATAACCCAATCCACGAGTTTCATAGGACCGTACCTTGAATGCATGGTTGTTATAGAAGCGGTCATCTACCTTAGTCCCCCATTCTGCTGGATCAAAGTTGGTTTCTAAATTGAAAAATATATATACAATAATTTCAGACTTATTTTGAGTTCATTAAAGTAAATCCAGAATAGTAACACAAAACAGGTTTTCTTTTTCCAATCACAGGTTCTTTACTGCCAGCTGAAAATCTTATTATTTTTTAATTTTTATTTATTTTTTAATTTACTTTTAAAAAATTTTATTAAAAAATTTTTAATGTTTATTTATTTTTGAGAGAGAGAGCGCGCAAGCAGGGGAGGGGCAGAGAGAGAGGGAAACACAGAATCTGAAACAGGCTCCAGGCTCCAAGCTGTCAACACAGAGCCTGATGCAGGGCTTGAACTCATGAACTGGGAGATCATGACTTGTGCTGCAGCTGGAGGCTTAACAGACTGAGCCACCCAGGTGCCCCTTTTTTTAAATTAAAAACATTTTTTTTAATGTTTATTTTTGAGAGAGACAGAGAGTGAGTGGGGGTGGGATGGAGAGAGAGGGAGACACAGAATCTGAAAAGGCTCAAGGCTCTGAGCTGTCAGCACAGAGCCTCATGTGGGGGCTTAAAACCACCAACCGGGAGATCATAACCTGTGCTGAAGTCAGATGCTTAATGGATTGAGCCACCCAGGTGCCCCTGGAGAGGTTTTTTAAAAAGTGAGGCATATTATATATAGTCAGTAGATACAAACAGGAAGAAGTATTTATATTTAAACAGAATTTTTCTTTAACTTTTCATTATGAACAATTTTTTTTTTCAATGTTTATTTATTTTTGGGACAGAGAGAGACAGAGCATGAACGGGGGAGGGGCAGAGAGAGAGGGAGACACAGAATCGGAAACAGGCTCCAGGCTCTGAGCCATCAGCCCAGAGCCCGACGTGGGGCTCAAACTCACGGACCGCGAGGTCGTGACCTGGCTGAAGTCGGACGCTTAACCGACTGCACCACCCAGGCGCCCCTGAACAATTTCAAACTTAGAAAGTAGAATAACAAATTCCCATTTGCACATTATTCAGATTCAACAATTATAAACTCATGATTTATCTTATCTGTAACTTCACTCAACTTCCCATCCTTTCTTCTGATTATTTTCAAGCCAATTCCAGGATTCCTATTGTGTTATCTACAAATATTTATTTCAGTATGAATCTCTAAGATATAAAGAAACCACAATATCACTATCACATCTAAAAACACTAATTCCTTAGTACCAGCTATCCAAATTTTCTCCATTGTCTAATATATTTTTTATTTTTTACTGTTGATTTGTTCAAATCAGAACCCAAACAGTGGACACATACAGACTTTTGTTCTGTCTTTTGAATATCTTTTAATTGAAAGATTTTTTTCACCTATCTCCCAGCCCATATTTTTTCCTTGTAATTTTTTTATTGAGGAAATTGGGTCATTTTTCCTTTGGAGTTTCCCGTAGTTTAGATATTTCTGATTCCATTCCTATGACTTTTAATAAGTTCCTTTGCTTTCGAATTTTCTGTAGCTGATTCAGGTTTTATTTATTTATTTATTTATTTATTTATTTATTTATGTTATTTAGCAAGAATACTTTATAGATAGTGCAGTGTAATTCTGTCAGGATATACATAATATGTAGTTGTTTCTCTTTTTAAGGGGATTGTTTCTTTTCTTTCAGGGCTCATTGATGATGATTGCTTAGATAATTTCTTTAGGGATTGCAAAATGGCAATGCTCTTATTAGATCATTACTTCTTGTTTTCTGGAGCAATCAGTAAAGAAAAACTTTCCTGTATCAACTATTTGGTTACCCTGATGTAAGGTTCATCCAGAAAAGGCAGGTTGAAGGTTTGATTCCCTTTATCGGCCAGTTTTCAGAATAATCAGTTGGTTTCTTAGGATCCTCTCAAAAAGGTTTTGTTTATTTTTATCATTATGAACTAATAAATATTTAAGAAATTGGATAAACTTCAATCCATTGCATTTTTTATTCGTCCTGATGCTTTAATTGTCCAAAATTGACCAGTTGGAGCTTATTTGCGTGCTCAGACGCTCCTGAGTCCATTGGAAACAACTCTAGAGTAGATGATCTCTTGAGGTTCCCTTCCACCCAGTGTGTCCATGAAAAACACAGTGAAGAAGGTCTGGGTAATAAACTGGTAATCTTCAATAGTGTGACATAATGTGATTTTAAGAGAACCTGCCACAAAGGCACATGTTTTCAATAGCAAGAACTGTTACTTGAAGACACCTGCTTCATAAAGCCTTTCTATGGCATAGGGATGGTCTTGAGCGAGTTTTATCATAACCAAATGCCCACCTTTTTCTTAGGGATTTGTGATATCACTTATATCAAATGCTAACATGTTTCCTGTCAGAAAAATAAAAATTAAGACCAATAATTAGCTATGAAGAATGGTGGCAAGGGAATTCTTGCCTTGTGTGAGAGACTGGGCTAGAGGAATTTTTCTTCCCTTTTGGAGAGACTAAATTCTGATACTTGTATCAGTTGGATAACTCACCTTCGGTTTACATGAGTGAAAATGGTTGTCATGCTTCAAATGTTTTCAAATAGTTTTATACAGTTTTTATCAGTTAGAGAGCTAGTATTCTGAGACCATCAGTCTGAATCACCAATTGCTTTAATTACCATGATCCAGTAGCAATGACTCAAATGTTTTTGTAACGGGACATTTCGAGATCTAAAATTAAATAAATGACTAAAGACATTTTACTCATGAATTTGTAAAATTAATGCTATAATAACAAAATTAAATGAACGTTCATTGTAATTCACCTCTTACCCTAAAAGATTTCGCTCGATAGTTTTTAGTGGCACTTAAGTTTCAAGTTGTGCAACAGATAGTCATACTGACTGGATATGGAAAAGACCAGCGACATTCAGGAAATTGGCAGAGATTCTGAGCTCTGCCTGGATTGAGATAAGACAAGATGGTGGAGCTGTGCTGTGAGTATAGGAGTGGTTTTAATTCAAGCCTTGTGGTAGGTTTCCTTCTTCTGGAAGATGATTTGAAATGGAATGCTTACTTACCTGTAGTTATTTCTAGTCACCTTTACCACTCTCTTGGAATACTGTAGTCAAAAGTAATGATGGTAACGACTTACACAAAATGGGTGTTCTAATCAAGAATAGGGTTTTTCAATAGAAATGTATAGCTGTAACAATGTATAGCTGTAACTAATCCTACTGGATTAGTCATAAACCAAGTTGTAACTTGATAGTTACGAGCCTTAAAGGCCGGGACTTTGGAAATTTTGTTTCTGGAAGTAAAGAAGCTGCTTTGGCTCTCAACCTATCATATTGGCATGAATTTTAGTCTCTGGGCAGGACAGGACCTTGGGAGAATAGAGAAAGAATATAAATTACCTTCCCAAGCTGGAATTTCACATTTATTTATTTATTTATTTATTTAAATTAAAAAAAATTTTTTTTAAATGTCTGAGACAGAGAGAGACATAGCACAAGCAGGGGAGGAGCAGAGAGGGAAACACAGAATCTAAAGCAGGCTTCAGGCTCTGAGCTGTCAGCACAGAGCCCGAGGTGGGGCTCGAACTCATGGAGTGCGAGATCATGACCTGAACCGGAGCTGGATGCTCAACCAACTGAGCCACTCAGGTGCCCTGGAATTTTACTTTTTAAAAGCTGTTTTTCTCCGTGCCTTCATTCACTATTTAAGGAGCACAGAATTATATTTTGCAACACTCACGATTCTTTCAAGTAAGAAGGGCCAAAATGTATAGAAAGTCACAAACTCTCCTCCCAGGAAGAACAGTCAACTGCCTGGGATGCATAGGAACAGCCTGTTGGAAAAAGCAGAGCTAGACTGGATGATCTCTTGAGTTTCCCTTCCACCCAGTGTGTCCATGAAAAACACAGTGAAGAAGGTCTGGGAAATAAACTGGTAATCTTCAATAAAGTGACATAATGTGATTTTAAGAGAACCTGCCACAAAGGCACATGTTTTCAATAGCAAGAACTGTTATTTGAAGACCCCTGCTTCATAAACCCTTCTATGGCATAGGGATGGTCTTAAGCAAGTTTCATGATAACCAAATGCTTAGTCTCTTACTTAAAGAAAAATATGCCTATTTTAAAAAGCTTACTCTCTCGTTTCTCTAGAAGATTTTCAAAATATGCTGCTGCAAAAGCTGGTATGTTTTCTGGTTGCTCCCTCAGAATCTCCCGTGTCAGCCCTTCAAGAAGATTCCCAAATCCTTGTGGAATTCGGTAGTGGGTGTTGGAGAATGGAATCGACATCTCCCTGGAAGGAAATGCCTATCGTACCTAGAGATTCATCAAAGGGCACAGTCTTTAAAATTGTCTGATTTTACTTATATAATCACAACTCTGTCAAATTATTTCTGAGACCCAAATTTTCTGGACTTGAATTCTTCCCCCCCCCCACCCCGTCCACACAACCCCAATCCATCATTTCTTCCAAAGGATTTTGAACTTTCCATTATTAATTAGAATATTATAAATACAGACCCATTTAACAGGCCAAATCATTTTTTTTACATTAAAAAAACCACACATTTTTCACTATAGCACTAAATACTTTTTCTCTCTGACCGCTTTTTTTGTCTTTAAAAGGTGAGGGTAATTTCTGCTATCTCACAGGAATTCAGAGAAAATGATTGTTAACAATTTATCATAAATCGCGGAGAAGACGCTGTTTGGGATCTAAAATTTAAAAAAAAAATGAAGAACTAATGTTGGTTCTAGAAATTACTCTAATGTGTTGCATGAAGAAGTTTAATACTTAGTCTTGCCCTAGTTTCCACTTCTGAAGCATGACCTACAAGGCCTCGAAGCACCTATATACTCTGAAGGGGGGAAGCAGGGGCAGTGGGGAGGGAGGGTGGGTGGTGGCCGCAAGGTCAAGACTTTGCAGTCCTAGCGTCCAAAATTTTGGGATTCTTCCATTTTCTGGTTTTGTCTTGACCAGGTTATCTTCCTGTCTTGGAATGCAAGGACTACATTAAGGATAGCAGCCAAGCAGCGGCTGGGCTGCTGAGTAAGCAAACGACACTCAGGGACCTGGCTTTTTGGTGAAGGTGTCAATGTCACAAAAGCCCGCAAGCCGTGGTAGGGGTCTAGGTGAGGGACTCGACGGTTGAATGAGGCCCCATCTGTGGAGGATGTTTTCCTTTTTTTTTTTTTTTTT